CTAATTTCTGATCTGGTATACTAATACTATATAACTTTGCCGACTATATTACAATAATTCTGACTTTATTATACAATAGTTTCTGACTACTTCTGATTTGATATACCTTTGCCGACTAAATTAGTTCACCCCTAATTTGTGATCGCGCCAACATACGGAAATGTTCATCCGGTAGCAGTCCTATCCCGATAAGCGAAATGATATAAACAGGAAAATGTGAAACAATACCTAACATTCACTATTATTATTTTATCGATAATGGGATATGTATTTGATACACGGTTGGCAATTGACTTTACAAACTACAATGCAGACGCTCTAGCATAGAAATAACGTTTTCATACTAGTATGGAAACGTTATTGGATATGAATTTTGCATTGTAATGCTGGCAACATCTAATCCCACATAAGAACGTCACGGGCATGACTTGTGGTAGATGGTGATTAGATTATGGACAGTTTCGTTTACGCAAGGGAAATTTGTGGTAGAGAAAATATGTATTATTTTTTTTTTGCTTCTGGTGTCATTTTTTCTCCTTCTGGTGTCTGGTGAAGATACAGTTTATGTTTGTGATGACATCAGGTTGTCTGTGAATGTCTCCACACCGGGCAAGCTGAAAAGTTTGCCTGACCGCGGTGGGAATCGAACCCGCGACCTTTGGTATGCTAGTCCAATCACCTCTACCAACCAACTGAGCTACGAGGTCACTGTTCGAGTGGGTTATATTTGGAAACTCAGTCTGGTTCCTTCGATATCAGTATGTTTAATTAAGATCGCAGAAACACACTGATATCGAAGGAATTAACTAGACTCAGGAGACTGATCATCCATTCGAACCGACTTGACCTCGTACCTCAGTTGGTAGCGATACCCGGAAAATGTAAGGCATTCAGGTAATTGGTAAACACGCGAGGGGGAGGAAGGGAAGAATTTCTTTCATTCACCAATTTTCCCGCATGCATCATAATTTGTGGGCATATAGCCCGCGTATTTAATTAAGTAGTATATAGCTAGCTAGATAGCTAGCCTTCGTATTTAAAACACGTAGTTTAATCATTGTGTTTCACTATACGGCTCTGGAGAGTGGACAACATCACTAACCTATGTCTTCCTGTTACCGAGTCAACCAAACATAATTCCTTGGCTCATATTTACCTATACATCGTACATAGTTGGCATAACCATAGTATTACTAGTAATAAATGAACTTGTGGTTAGAGTTCGACAACTGGACTCTGTGGCTCAGTTGGTTAGAGCCCTGCACCGGAATCGCAGGAAGCAGGTTCGACTCCTGCCAGAGTCCTATATCTCGTTTTCGCCCCACTGTTATCCCATTACTTCCTATATTATCCACAAGGCTTCCTATCTTCCCGTCCCAGGCCTTTTTAATTAATTTTCGCGTCTTGTTTCTTATCACATCTACGCTCATGATAAATTTTTATCGTTAATGATATGAATTAAGATTTTTTGAGAATATAACTTAACGTTCCAGAATTATGCAGCTGACGTACTGTGGAGGAGTTGTGCTCACTTGTGCAGTATATCCGATACAACACAGCCGCTCATGTTGTGAATGACTTGCGCGCTGATGAAAACATTCGTATTCTTCAACAATTTAAAATAAATGAATGATACTTTTTGTGAGTGAAAAATGAGTGAAAAATTGAACTTAAAGTTTATGTAATCAGCATGATTCTGTATCAGATATACAAACTCCTTTACGCTCGTGATTTCTTTTGTGTTTTTTCCATGAATTATTAACGAGTGTCACTATAGTTAAAACATTCGCAGCCGATCTTTCATCACGTCCACAACTCGTTTGTGTATCAGAATCAAGCAGATCTAGAAAGGTTAACATTAGCAAAACGATCCATCTTATGTGTTCATTGGCGAAGTAATTTTAAAAATAAACATTGTCTAAGCCGAGAAAATCAAAGCTGAAGTTTATGTAAATCAGAACAAATTTTTATCCGATTTACAAACATTGATTAAACATTAATTTCTTTTGTATTTCTCTCGTGAATTATTAATGAATTTTTTAAATACAAATACAAGTCGATTTTAAAATGTTAATAGGCAATCCCAGCTATTGCAATGCATGCTGGGGCCTGACTGTGGTGCAAATTCCAATTTCGAACTCCATCGGCATCGCTTGTGATCGATCGATGATGAATTAGATCACATTTGAGAACGATCGGTTCTTTTTATCGTGAGAAACTTGCATCCCGTATTAATGTAAGAGTGAAGCGAGTACGTATTTCATACGTTTCGTTGATTTCGTGGTGAGTAAATTCATCCGTTTGTGTACGAAAAACTACCCCCCGGTAAATTTGGATTTAATATGCAAGTTAAACTTCCGGTTGTATTTCGTAGAAGAACCAAAGTTTACCGAGAATTATTCTGGTTTCAACTTTCACAGTTGCGCAACAAATTCGTTGTTATGGGCAGAATGAACAAACCAAATAATATGCAAGACCATTTTCAGAGTTTCAATTCTGCTTTACAAACTGAAGTTCAACGCATAGAAGCTATGCGAAAGGAAGTAGAATCTCGGGAAAAGGCGTTGAATGATGAAAAAGAGAGAATGATGAAAATCGAAGTCGAAGATGACGATGTTATCAGCCTTAATATTGGAGGTAAAATCATGGCGGCCTCAAGGTCAACATTGTGCCAAGTCGAGGGATCACTTCTAGCTTCTATGTTCAGCGGAAGATGGGAAGAAAGATTGAAGAAAGACAAACATGAGAACGTGTTCTTGGATTTCAACCCAGATTGCTTTAAATTGATTTTGAATTATCTTCGTGCGAAAAAAATTGAAACGCCTCGAAGTAAAGCGAAAGAGCCAAAACCACCAAGGGACGAGACAAGCAACTATTGGAATCTGGTGGATTACTTGGGCTTACATGAAGAGTTGAAGTCTACTACTTCTAAAACACTTCTTCAATTAGCAGACACAAAAGAAGGAACGTACTGCATGAACAAGGATGACGGCGATGTAAAAGAAGAAGTAAATTGCAAAGAGAAATACTACTATAAACCTAATATGCCTGAAA